GTCCCTTAAGTCCCTGCTGAAGACACGGGAACAGAAACAGCTCGATTTCGAAGCCTTGGTCGATTACCGGAACAAAGCCGTGACTGAGCGTGACTCTTTGGCTGCCAATCCAGCTGCTTACTACGCTTCAAACCCGCTCACCTCCTCCCCAGCATCTTTCATCCGCTCCAAAATGGAGGACATGCGCGGAGTCGACCACGAACAGTCCCGTCGCGAACGTGTGCGAAAGCTTGAGCTCCGCATTGACGAATTGACACGCGAGGTCGAGTCCGCCAAGACTACATCCGAGATGTTTGACGAGGAAGTCATCCGCGAAGTCGCAGATTTCGAACGTATCAAGGCGGTTGAGTTCCGAGACGGACTCGGCTCCTTTGCTGATTCGCACATCGAGTTCTATCAGGGCGTGCTCTCTACATGGGAGCGGTTTGTCGCAGAGATGGAAGGCGAAGCTGAGCCTGGACATGACTCTGATGCGGCTGCTATCGGTGCTATTTAGCTACGTCGGTCTGAGTATGATTGAGTCTCTATCCGGGTCAAGTCTAATACAGCAGTTCATTTCTGTTGCTTTCGCTAGCTTATTCCGTGTTTCATGCCCGCAATACCATCATAACTCTTCATTTATTCAGATATGCAGCCACCTAGGGTGTCAAATTCAATGCCGATGAAATAAAATTCCATTTTCAAAAAGCTCCAGATCCGTTCATTAAATGAGAAAGAGTTTCCCCATCACCAGCGTGGCCATGAACCCAGAGCTATCTGCAGGTTAATAATGTTTGTATTGTTTGCACTGAATGTCCATCTTCGATCATCCGACTCAACTTCGAATGGGTCACCAAACACCATGCGTCCAATCTCCAGAGCTGTGCTTCGGCCGTATGTTTGCCCAACTTGCCGCCATGGCACTAGTGCCGGTCGGCGGCGATTTGGGTCTAAATCGGATTCCCCTGAACTTTACGATGTGGTTTGTGTTGGAGGCGGGCCCGCGGGCCTAGGGTTATTGGCCGCACTCCGTGTGTACAACACAATGCAAAGAAGCAAAGCAAATGCTAATACGATTCTACTGCAGGAGCATCGCCGATTACTTCAAAGCTCAAAGTTGCCCTCATCGAGAGCCAAGATCTCCGCAAAGCCAAAGCCTGGGACCTCGAACCGAACCAGTTCTCCAACAGGGTCAGCAGCTTGACCCCCTCGACCGTGTCATTCCTGCGTAGCATTGGTGCCTACGATCATCTCGATGTCAATCGCGTGCAAGAGTACCAGGACATGCAGGTCTGGGACGGCCAAACCGGGTCTCGAATATCATTCGACTGGTCAATGGAGACATCACCATTCGAAGACATGCGCACTGTAGCAACCATGACCGAGAACGCAAACCTAGTGCGCGCTCTACTACGCCGAATCGCCGACTCAGGCGACGAGAATCTCTCCCTCTTCTCAAAGTCCACAGTCGCCTCCATTGAAAATGGCTCAGACCTCAAACCCGAAGGTCCCGACCTCTCAGCCTGGCCAGTCCTCACAGTCAAGCCCACAGGCCCAGCCGCAGAAACAGAGACACCCAAGCGCATCGCCGCCCGTCTCCTCGTCGGTGCAGACGGCATCAACAGCCCCGTCCGCTCCTTCGCAGACATCCCCACCCAAGGTTGGGACTACGGCCGTCACGGCATCGTCGCAAGCCTCGCTCTCGCAGAGCCAGCAACCCAACCCTTCCCGGTCTCAAAGCGCACAGCTTACCAGCGCTTCCTCCCCGCTCTCGGCGGCCCTATCGCCCTTCTCCCTCTGCCAAACAACCACGCAACCCTTGTCTGGTCAACGACCCCCGAGAACGCCGCTTACCTAAAGTCCCTTCCCACCCCAGCTTTCCTCGCAATGGTCAACGCCGCCTTCCGTCTCGACATGACAGACCTTACCTACATGATGGGGATGCAATCCTCTTCTTCCTCCGATTCAACCCCATCCCACCAAGACGAACTCACCTGGCGCGCCCAGCACACCCCCCTCCCATCCCAAATCCCTCCCCCGGCAACAGGCGTGCAGACAGGCACAGTCGCTTCCTTCCCTCTGCGCTTCAGACACGCGGCGCAATACATTTCGCCACGCATTGCGCTTGTCGGTGACGCCGCGCATGTTATTCACCCCCTCGCTGGACAGGGCCTTAATCTCGGCCTGGCGGATGTTGCTTCGCTCTCGAAGACTATTCAGTATGCTGTGTCGCATGGCATGGATGTAGGCGACTTGCTTACTCTTGAGCGATACTCGTCTGAGCGGTACTTGCCCAATGCGAAAATTGGGGGTGCTTGCGATCTCTTGCATAAACTGTATAATGTTCCTGGTGAAGGGCCTGTTGCTTGGGCGCGTAGTCTTGGACTTGGTGTCGTTGATCGGTTGCCTTTTGTCAAGTCGTTCTTGATGAAGAATGCCGAGGGATATTAGGACAAAACTGTTGCGGTTGTGTATACGTATGGCTTTTTTTTGGTTCCGTGAGTTGTTATTCAAGTCGCTTTTACGTGAAAGCCTTATTTCTACCAAGTGGTTAATAGTACTTTTTGTCTTTCGATGACGTCTTGAGAGAGTTGTAATATGCAAGCTTTAAAGGGCTATAACAATGGATCCCTCATCGGGCTAGTGTATTAGACTTACTCCCGCAGATCGGAGAAACGGATATGTTAGGAAATTGAGAAAATCTTAAATGTGAGAATGCACTACCGAAAGGTAGAGTATCGCATCTGATGGCTTAGATTCAATTTTAATTCACAATAGTACCCTACCAGAAATTTTAACAGAAAAGATCTAGGAATGATTTAAGTCGTAACCGTGCCAAGCGCCCAATACACCTTCCGGGTTTTGGTACGCCCCACTATACACACGTCACCAGGGGCCAAGCAATGTATCCATAGATAGGGCGAACGAAATAGAGCATGCGGAACAGAGGAAGTGCAATGAACTGGGTATTTTGGTACTATAAGACATCAACCCGAATCTCTGCATGTACTAAATTTTGTTCTTTTCTCTCAGGAACAACCTCCCAGTCCTTTTCATAGACTGTCGAAACCCAAGCCCGACAATGCAAGAGATCTATATAATTTTAGGGAAACATCGAGACCCTCTGAAAAAACACGCTCTAAAAGGAACACAAAAAGAAAACTGCAGACTCAAAAGGGTTGGAATGGCTTAAACACTTGTGCCCTGCAGCTGCTGTGCCAGAGATGAGACAGCACCGTGCTGCTTCTTAGCAAGGCGGGTTTGCAGCTCGGGAACCAGGGCGGCAATCTCAACCTCGACACCCTCCTTCTCGGGGTGTCCGTCGGGCAGACCCATCTCCTTGATGCGGCACTTGCCAGCGGCGAGCTCTTCCTCGCCGAGGATGATGCCGAAGGGAATGGCGCCTTGTTCGGCAGCCTTGAATTGCTGGGGCAGCTTGGGCTTCAGCTTGTAGGAAAACTCCGCCTGAAGACATGCATGTTAGTATTTCTTCCAGAAGACCAGTAATCGAGAGAGATGGAAGGCTTACCTTGATACCAGCACTCCACAGCTTCTGGCAGATTTCCATGCGCTCCTTCAACATTCCACTGAAGCCCTTGCCACCGAAGGCCATGACATAGGCATCGACCTCGCTGCTGCGAAGAGCATCGGACTTTTGCTCGCGCTCGATGCGTGCCTTGGTAATGGAGAAGATACGGTCGACACCGAATGAAATTCCGACACAGGGGATCTGCGCCTTGGGCTGGAACATGCCAACCAGGTTATCGTAGCGGCCACCAGCAGCAACACTGCCAACGCCGAGGGTGGGGTCGTTGGATCGGTCTTCGTCCTCGGAGGGCTGCTTGGACTTGCTCTTCTTACTGGACTTCTCGGCCTTCTGTGCCTCTGGGGCGTCGGCCTGAACACCAGCTGAACCCTCGGTGACAACCTCGTAGATGACACCGGTGTAGTAATCCAGACCACGGGCCAGGGACATGTCGAATGAGATCTTGTCCAGCACGCCGAATGCCTCTAGGTAGTCCATCATCATAGCCATTTCCTCGAGACCGGCCTTGGCGGAGGCATTGGCGTTGAGGGTCTCATCCGTCAGGAGAGAGTCAAGCAACTCACGCGAGCCCTTGTTCATAACGTACTTCTCAATACGATCCGCAACTTCGGGGTCAAGACCCTTCTCGTCGACCATTTCCTTGCGCACATCCGCCCACGGCATCTTGTCCAACTTGTCGACAGCACTGGAGATAGGTCGCAGCTTGTCCTCGGGCACACCACAGACAGCAAAGACACCGTCCAGGATCTTCCGGTGGTTAAGCTTGATGGTGTAGCGGCCACCCCAGCCCAATTCCTCGAAGACCTCGCTTACGATTCGCAGAATCTCGGCATCGGGAACCATAGCGTCGAAGGCACCGGCGATATCGAAGTCGCACTGGTAGAACTCACGCATGCGGCCCTTATTAATGGCAGGTTGGTCACGGCGGTAGACCTTGGCGATGTGGTAGCGCTTGATGCTGCGGACATCGGTGTTCATGGCGAGCCAGCGCGCGAACGGCACTGTCAAGTCGTAGCGCAGCGAGCAGATCTCGCCACCCTGGTCCTTCAGGTCGTAGATGAGCTTGGAGTCCTCGCCATATTTGCCCGCCAGGATCTCACGCAGCTCGAACACGGGGGTGTCTAGTGCGGTACCGCCGTGGCGCTTGAAGACATTGGAGATGGTGGTGAAAATGCGGTCTCGGAGGAGGGCATCGGAGCCGGACCAATCCTTGGTACCCTTTGGGGTCTTGAGGTTGAATGTAGGACCCTTGTCTTTCGCCATTGTGATGGATTCAGCGAAGCGATGGGAGGAGGAAAACTGGCGAGTGCGGCGGGGATAAATTATTTGGTGGGGGATGGTGGGGGCAGAGATATTCTTTTTATTCGAGGTGACTCGACGGTTCTGCAGGAAAGGATAATGAGTCAGGCGAGAAAGGGGAGTCAGTCCCAATGGATTGACAATTGCTCGTTGAACAGAGCGCAAAGGAACAGGAATGGACGGCATAAAAAAAAAAAGAACGGCGCTGCGAAACAAAATTCTAGGGTACCTCCCGGTCATCTCCTTGAGGCATCTGCTGGGTCGGGACTTCTTTCTGTTTGAGGCCTGTTTCTCCGATGAGTTTATCCGGACAAATCCTTTCAATTGTTTTCAACACTCTCTCTTCTCTCTTCTCTCATCTCTCATCTTTTTTTGTTTATTTTTCTTGGGTAATGATCACAGCAACCGAAGGATGCAACTGGCACTACTCTGATTGCACTCCTATCTATCTATATATGGTTGTATGTGTCTAGCCTGTACGGAGAATATAGTGCCCCACTGATGAAACACTTTTTACAGAGTAAAGACACATTCAAAGAGGCAATTCCATATCTGTGACCAAGAAAAGAGATTAAGCCTTAGGGCGTGATAGTTGAGTTCTGGACTTCCCCGGATCTGCCTTTTGCAAATTGCGTTGGAACTGGAACGCCTTTGCGGCTGGACATGCTCTTTCCTCTTTGGGACTCGGGGCCTAGGCACATTCCAATGGGGTCAAAATGACTGTACGGTATTTGTATTTGTGTGTTGTGTGTTGTGTGTTGTATGTTGTACTTTGTACTCCGTACGGAGTATAGGACAACACATCGCTCACTAGAGATATCGATCTACTCCACAGTCCATAACGTCATTTGATAGAACAGGTAGACTGATTAGACGTGCGAGGTGGGTTTCCTTTAATATCGGCACTCCGACATGCGTCTTTTTTTACCGAACCCCCTTGTCTCGCCACCTCCCCCCACCATGCCACTATGCACTCTGTGTAGATTTGCCAACGGAGTCACAGGGCTCGTTGAAATTAATTTTTTTTTACATTGGCGACGTGGTCAGATCACGCTGTTGGTTTCGATCCGATTATGAAGCCCGATCACGCAGATTACCTAGTCTGCCCAGAGTGCCCCATTGCGGGAACGTGCGTTGGTGTCCGGAGAGAATAGCTGAATTGGTACGGAGTCCTCCGTAGGGTTGCCGCCTATTGGACCCCGCAAGGGGTGTAAACGGGTTGATCTAGACGTCAGCACCTGAGCGTCGGGAATCATCCATGGAATCCAGCCTGTCCCAGATCTCCCCTTGCCCGGTCACATTGTGAGAAAAGAGTTCAGGCATGTAAGGAACAGTCACATTTCGAGTTTGGAAGGGGCCCACCGCCACCATTCTATCCCCCTCCTTCGACCGAGATGATCATTGGCCGGGTGACGCCATGCGAGGGGCGTACACGGGCGGACACATGGCCCGTGAGCGAGGGGCGGCTGAGAACCAATCACCGAGATGGGGTTCTTGGTTCAGTAATGAGAGAGGAGTCTCTCTTCCATGGACGTGGGGGGGGGCCACTCCGCTGGGGAAAAGTGCTGTAGCCAATGGGTATAAAATGGGGCTCCGGTATAGCCGGTGTTTCTTGTACAATCTAATTGTTCAACGGAATGGGAGAGAGTTGACTTGTGTAGATGGAAAATCTGAGAAAGATGAGAAAGATGGGAAATTCGGCGATTGGACTAGTACCTGCCTTAGATCTCCACGTGGAGTAGAGAGGCGTCGTGAGGCTAGGATGAATGGGGTCAAGAGATATGGTTTGTTTTGGATAATTCCGGCTGCAATTGTATCGTTCCTATACAATTACACGACTCCAAGTTTTACATGGAGGATCAATGACTAAGTTGCTATGTTACGAGAAACCGGGTCCATTCCAGAGAACTCCCCTCTCTTCTACTGGGACTCTTTTTATCTTCTTCTCTTTAATCTTTAATCTCTCTTGTTAATCTTTCTTTAATCTCTTTAATCTCTCTAATCTCTTTAATCAATCTTTCTTAATTCCAATCCTATTTATTTGACCCCATAACGTGCGGACTTTGACTTCATTCTCTCCCGCCCCTCTCATTTCCGCACCCCCAGAAACCTTATGTGATCAAAACGGTCACTTTATTTCCCCAGACGCGCTTCATTTCCCTTCTCCAACACCCCTTCTTCATATGCCGATCACGAACCGTGGTCAATAACTCTGAACACTGAGCCTCATCAATGCAGAGTGCGACCGGCCATTAAGCCATCATGAAGGCGCTCTTCTCCAAGGGCTCAAAGAATGGGGTGCGTGACAATACATCCCTACAGCCATGCTTTCTCGATCTGGTAGCACAGCAGATGCCTCGGGCACTCCCGTGAGACTATTTGGATTGGGACTGCGACTGACTTGCATGTTCCACTTTGCGCAGGCTTCCAACCCCCCGGCTACGGCGCCACCCGTGAAAAAGGACCTCCAGGTACCGCAGCTGTCGCCGCTAGAAAAACGATTACAGGACATGGGATCCATCCGTGGCGACGGGAGTGACAAGTTCTACGGAATGGAAAATGTGAGTTTCGGGTTTCCCCGGAGTCGGGTTGGGATCGCAAAGGCACTAACCGCAATCTCCCGCACTTGTCCAGTATGGAAATACGTGTTACTGCAACTCAATCCTGCAATGCCTTTACTACTCGGTTCCTTTCCGTGAAGCCGTCATCAACTATCCACGACGCACACCCATGGACAGCCTCGAGGCTGCACTCGCCAAGAACCTACGTTACCAAAACCCAAATGCACACATTGAAGCCGAGGCACTGGCTGCCAAACAAAAGGCTTCCTCCCCACCATCCGCGCGCCAGGCCGGTGTGCCCCCAAATCCAAACCAGAAGCCGGAGGACAAGGAATCACCCGAATACAAGAAGAAGGTGGCACTGCAGACCCTTCCGATTTTGGAAACCAAGAACAATGCGACCAGTTATGGGATGTCGGAGTCCCTATTCACTTCGCTCAAGGATATCTTCGAATCGGTGGTAGCCAGCCAAGCGCGCATTGGTATCGTTCGCCCGCAACAGTTTCTGGAAGTTCTGCGACGAGAACACGAAATGTTTCGGACCGCTATGCATCAGGATGCACACGAGTTTTTGAATTTGCTCCTCAATGAGGTGGTGGCCAATGTCGAAACGGAGGCCACGAAGCAATCATTCATCGAGAAGGCTTTGCCGCCAACGGAAAGTGTGGATTCGTTAGCAATGGTGCCATCGAGCACGGGTTCGAAGTCACCAAACACTACGAGATGGGTTCACGAGCTATTTGAGGGAACTCTGACGTCCGAGACCAAGTGTCTCACCTGTGAGAAGGTCTCGCAGCGAGATGAGGTGTTTTTGGATTTATCAGTGGATCTCGAGCAGCACTCGTCCGTGACCTCTTGTCTTCGAAAGTTTTCGGCCGAGGAAATGCTTTGTGAGCGCAACAAGTTCCACTGCGACAATTGCGGTGGACTGCAAGAAGCGGAGAAGCGGATGAAAATCAAACGTCTGCCTCGTGTGCTGGCGTTGCATTTGAAGCGCTTCAAATATACAGAGGACTTGCAGCGACTACAGAAGCTGTTCCACCGCGTCGTGTATCCCTACCATCTTCGTCTGTTTAACACCACAGACGATGCCGAGGATCCAGACCGGCTCTATGAACTATATGCGGTGGTCGTTCACATTGGCGGCGGACCGTATCACGGCCACTACGTTGCCATCATCAAGACTGAAGACCGTGGTTGGTTGCTGTTCGACGACGAGCTTGTGGAGCCGGTTGACAAAAGCTACGTGCGCAACTTCTTTGGAGATCGACCCGGGTTGGCGTGTGCCTATGTTCTATTCTATCAAGAGACAACTATCGAGGCTGTCATGCGCGAACAGGCACAAGAGAACCAGGCCTCCGCGACCGCAACAGCCGAAACAGGCGAGGCCGGAAAGTCTAATGGATCCCCTTTCTCACCACCGCTAGCTCATGCCCAAAGTGCATCACAGGTGCCTCCTGAGCAGGCAATCCCCTTTACTCCTCTCAGCCGAATCCCAACGGCACCCCCACTGTCTACCTATCCAGAAGAATCTCGGGGATCCCATCCAACTTTACCGCAGCCCGTTCAACCGTCTCTCCCTTCGATCCCTGACGAATCAACTCCCCCATTGAGCCCAAAGAAGAGTGATCACCAACTACGGAAGGAACGTAGGGCCCTGGAGAAAGAGAAGGATAAGAACGAAAAAAATCGACTGAAAGAGCAGGACTTGTACAACCGCGAAATACAGCGACGAGAGGCAGAGGAGTTGAAAAGAGCCCTCGAGGCTAGCAGGGCCGAAACGGTCGATTTCGCCGAAAATGGGTCACCCAGGAAGTCGAGCAGTTTTGGCTTTTTGAAACGAGGCAGTCGTAGTTTCAGTCACCGACTTGGCAAAGACAAAGAGCCCCGAGTCTCAACCTCGGATCTCTCAACAGCACCGCTTCTTCCAGATGTTATGCGAGAAGCACACCTCAAGGAGGCAGAACCGGCCCGACCAGTCAAAACCGTTCAGCCGATCAAACCAGTTCACCCGGCCCAGTCAGTTCAGTCGCCGGTTCCTTCTCCGAGAAATTTCCCACCTATCTCCAGCCCTAAGCAACCCAAGCAACCCATCCGAGCTCGAACTCCCGAGTCTTTGGCCAAGGACTTGACCAAAGACCAACCCAGCAACAATGTGAAGCCTGGTCACACCCATACCGCTCGATGGAGATCTTTCAGTTTCAAGAAAGTGGCATAGACTACAGTGTTTTCCCCCCCTTCTTCTGACAGCACTTGCTTCCGTTTTTCACCTCACATCTTCAGCCCGACTTTTACGGAGACGCCCCCTATCATCTTGCACATATGAGCGCCAATTTTGCTTCTGCACATAGTTTCCTTTAATGGATGTACTACCATGTTCTTGTGATCTGCGCTTCTCCGTCTTCCCATTCTCCTGTGGAGGTCCTCGATTTCAACCGGGGTGTTTCCACAGCGATGTCTTTCTAGACCCCGCTGGACCTCAGATCACACCGGTTCTATCTTTCTCTCCTTGTTTTTCCCACTTTTCACCACTGTATCTTGCTATTTGAGTTGTTTTTCTTTTCTCTTGCCGTCATTGCTTTTCATCACTGTCTCTTTTTGTATCATGTACAACGGCATGATGCTCCCACTGACAGGACCGAAACCTGGCAGGTTTGCGAGAAGGGGCGTATTGGGTCTGCTTTCTTTTGCTGGTGAGGGTCTTTTATCGGATTTGGGCGTTTGTCCTGTTCTTACACATCTCCTTGCAAGTCATGAGCGAATCTTTTCTTTCTTAATCAAGTTTTCGAACCCTTCCTCCAAACTCTGCGTATGTGCAGTGATTCGGCATTTTTGCTGTCATCTCCTTCGTCTATGCTTCACGAGATGTCGGTCATCAACCCGAATAGAGAACAGATGTAAGATACAGGTTTGCTGTGTAGTGACACATCTCTTTCTCTAAACTTCAATCTCCCTAACTTCATGTAAACTACGTCTCGATCATGTGTCCATTGCGGTTCTAGCTTTTTGGTGGGTATGTAGATACAGGCCGGAAGCAATCAAAAAGAGCTCGCCAAGGGGGAGATGGGCTATTCTCTGCATGTAGCCACTGTTCTTGTTGCCCTCAAGAAATGATTTCACTCAGCACAGCATGAGATAGACGCCTGGCAGCGGTATTCCGGTCTTGTTACACATGACCCAGTCCCACCCGCTGTCCCCAGTATGCATCTTGCCTGTGTAGATCGTGCCGCATTTCTCGCTTGGGCGTCATCAGTGATATAGAGGTGTCTGATTTTAAATAGCTCGCTAGAGGGGAGGTCACAGCAAGGCGTACTGAACAGCTATGTTGGTTCGCAGGCAGGGTCGCTATGCAGCTTGGTCGCAACGGATCCGTGAGTGAGATCGGCGGGTGGAGGAAATGACGAGTAGGCGAATTTAACCAAGAATCAGCTCGTAGACAATGATGACCGTGTTGATGACGATAAGGGGTACTGCATCATTCGTGTGTTAGTTATTCCGTTGGGGCAATGGTTGAGCTGTCTCATTTAATCAAAGCAGAGCAGCTGGCTGTTTTTTGAGGTTGATGAAAGCTATCACTCAAATCCAAGATGCAAGACTGCCCTTGTTAAAGTTCGGCTGCGGAGGGGGTTGGGAAACGTACTCCGCATCACGGTGCGCACACTGGCGATCAGGTTGACGGACTTGGCTTTCACACTTGTGCTATCGTATGTTGCGCCGAAGCCCGGCTCGGCTTGTGTGCGACCCCATCCGACTGTATTTGTCCAATATTCGTTAGGTTCTTATTCTCTAGACGGGGTGTAGCTGGGGAGGGACGTACCGCGAGCTAGGAAGCGGTCCTCGGAGAGGACGGCGATGGCATTGATGATGAGAACGATGACTGAGAGTCAGGATATTAGTGTAAGCTGGAGAATGAAGATAACAAGTAACAAACCGTAGAACAGGTTCCCAAGACCGAAGAAAAACATCTTTGCGGGTTGAGGAAGTTGGTAAAAGGTGAAGTGCGGGAGGCGCCAGATCTCCGGATTAACACTCCTCTCGGATGCAGTCACAATGGGATATAGTTCGTTCGCTCTGTGCAAGAACACTAAGCACATAAACTGACTGTTTCTTTATAGCATTTGCGATCCTGGCTCTTCTCTTCCCAGTCTTGATCCTCCTTCATCTTCTCGTCGCTCCATACACCAAAGTCGAGGAGTCGTTCCACGTCCAGGCTGTGCATGATATCTTGACCAACGGTCTACCAAATGGCTTTAATGACCTGAATCTTGCCCGTGTCGAATATGACCATTTCTCTTTCCCCGGGGCTGTTCCCCGAAGCGCCATTGGTGCTGCGGCACTCGCTGTGCTCTTGAAGCCCGTTATCTTGTTGAATGAAGAGATCAACCGACAGCTATTAGGTACGGCATAGATCTATACTGCTTTGCATCCAATCAAGCTAACGCAGGCACCCAGCTCGAGCTATCCTGGGTCTAATCAATGCCTCGTCTCTAGCAGTCTATGCAAGAGGTCTGCGCCGTAGTTTCGGCCAGCCAGCGGCTATCTGGTATATCCTATTCCAAGCAAGCCAGTTCCACTTGATGTTCTATGCCTCAAGGCCACTATCAAACATGTTTGCCTTCGGTATCACGACACTAGCAATGTGCCTGCTTCTCCCTAGCCCTCGTCCAACACCCCAAGACCAAAAGCAATGCAGCCTAGCACTCGCCCTCCTCACCACCGCAGGCGTAGTCTTCCGCTCAGAACTAGCCCTCCTAGTCGGAACACAAACTCTCTTCCTACTAGCAACAAGAAAGATTAGCCTCTCACACACCGTCATCGCAGGCCTAGTAGGCCTCACAACGGGCCTAACCCTTACAGTCTATCTTGACAGCACCTTCTGGCAAAGCTTCCCACTCTGGCCGGAATTCGAAGCATTCCGCTTCAACGTCCTGGCAGGCCAATCATCAGAATGGGGCACAGAACCATGGTCCTTCTACTTTATGAACTCCCTCCCCCGCCTCCTCTTCAATCCCCTCTCCTACCTCCTCGCCATCCCCGTCGCCCTACGACAACCGGCCACGCGATCCCCAGCACTGGCACTTCTAACCCCGGCGCTTTCCTTCGTCGCACTATACAGCTTCCAGCCTCACAAGGAATGGCGCTTCATCGTTTACATCATCCCTTCCCTCACGGCTGTAGCTGCCCTCGGCGCTGCGTATCTCTGGACGCACCGCTCGCGCTCTGTTTTCGCCACTCTGGCGGCCCGCGCCCTGGCCGTTTCGACACTCGTCGTGTTCTGTCTGTCCAATTTCGTTCTCCTTCCTGCGTCGGCGGCAAATTATCCTGGTGGTCAGGCTCTTGACGCTATGCACCATCAGCACTCTATCCTCCACGATACGGACTTGTTTCCTGGTAAGGCCAACTCTTCTATCAATGTCTACTTAGGAAACCTCGCCTGTCAAACTGGCGTAACGCGCTTCTTGCAACAACCCCCTTCATCGGGCTGGGTATACGACAAAACCGAAGACAAGGCCGTTAAATCTACTCCTGGGTTCTGGGACCGGTTTGATTATGTGGTTGTGGAAGCGAGTGACGAGATCGGGTTCATGGATGCTGATCAGACGAGTCTCCGACGTGCCCTCCCTACTTCCGACTGGGAGAGAATGCTTGTAGTAGATTCGTTCGCCGGGGTTTCAGTTCTGAGGCCTGGGATTCCTGCTACGGGATCTGTGGAACGGCGTGTTGTTGGTGCGATTGCGGGTGCTCGTGCTGTTGGTCTGTTTGAGCGTCTGCGCGAGTGTGTGCGGGAAGTCTTGTTGCGTGGGTGGTGGGTTGAGGTTAAGATGAGACCGAGGGTTCAGGTATTGAGGCGGGTTAGGGAAGGGTTCAAGCGTTAAGATCAAAGTAAATAGATTATATTATGTCTGCATCCACTTATATTACAATGTGGCAGGGTGTTGAAAAAAAAAACCAACAGGGCCATCTGGTATGGAACTGATATTAACAATTGAAGATAACTACAACGTACCCTCAACATTCGACAAGTACATGCAAACTGGGTATTATTCATCAAACCTCTGCCCCGGACAGAGCAGATTAAAAAAATGTAGACACGAGAAATGGATTACAGTGTCGAGGGGCCTTCCAGACGTGCCAGACGAGACTCCAAGTCGCGCACCCAGGGCTCGACAGTCTCCACATTAGACCGGAGAGCAGCTTCACCCTGTTTCATTTTCTCTTCGACGGTCGTCAACCCTTCACGCCACTGCTCGATCTCTGATGCCATCTCGGCATGGCGCTTTTCCAGCTCGTTAAGCGAGTCCGCGGCGTGGGCTGCGCCGGCGTGACAGGCGCGCAGAGAGCGCAGACGCTCGAGGATGCTGGGCAGCAGGGGATGCAGGGACTGGATAGTTGGAAGGGTGGTGTAGAGGGCTTGGATCTTGGCGGTATGTTCGTCGTCGGTCGACGCTTCTAGTGCAGGGATGACGTCGGCATCTGAACTTGCTAGGCGGGCGTTGTGAACGGCCTTTGCGGCTTCGAAGGCTTTTCTGCGGGCTGTGGTGAGCGCCTCGGCATCCGTAGTCAATTTTCGGACTCGCGTGGAAAGAGCTTCTAGGTGTGGAGTTGTCATGCCTGGCGCGGCATTGGGTGCTCCTGGCGCTGCGGACGCGGAGCCCGTGCCAACCAGAAGTCCAGTGAGGGCTGAGAGGCGGGAGGTGAGCTGGTCCAGAGCTGGGAGAACTGGGTGCGGCGTTGACTCGCTGATGCCATCGGCGATGAAGGGGTTGGATAAGCTTGAGATACCGATGGAGCTTTCAAGCAGCGCCAGGCGACTGTCGAATGCTGCCGCGTGAGAGAGAAGCCCTGCTGAAGAGGCAGTTGGTGCTGGCACTGCGGGGACTGCCATTGATGCATCGGCCGAGGATTGTGCCTGCGCGTCTGTGGCAGCGCGAGTCCCAGATTCAAGCTTCTGAGACAGCAACGCCGCAGCTGAATGCGATGAGCTCGCCGCGCCTCGCGAAGCGTGCAGATTGTCCAGAGCGCGGCTCAGCTCCGCAACGCCATCACTTAGGTTCTCCCCTGGCTTTTCAGTTGCGGCAGCACTCTGCGACGATCCATTTCCGGCCTCTGTGCTGTCTTTTTTGTTGGCCATTTCCACCTTGAGATCTTCGACCTCTCTCCGCAGTCGCGCAAGCCTCCGCTCAAGCGACTCGTCCTCGCTATCACTCAGGTCACCAACCTCCTCTACTCCGTCCTCGCGTCTCCGCCGACGACGACGGCTCATGCTCTTGCTCCGGTAGGCCTGCCGCTTCATGGAAATGCTATCTGAGAAATTGACATCGCGGGCGTCCACGACCGCTCCCATGAAGCGCATACGCGCCTGGTCCGGGTTGACACCCTCCCGGTCAATGTCGGAGTTTGAGCCTGCATCATCATGGTCGTAGTCTGTGCGGATGGTGGCAGTCTAGAAAGGTTCAGTGATAAGGCCCGCTGACGTCTTTTTTGGTGTGGAATTGCCGAACTCACGGGCAAGGTGGATGCTTCGTCGGTCAAGTCGGGGGTTTCATAGATATCCGGGGACGGGTCCTGGGTCACAGTTAGTGGAAAGCCTAGTGGATATCAACCGCTGAAATTGCTCACTAGATCAGGAAGACCGGCATATTTCTTATTGAAAGACATGATTGGATTGTGGTTCTCCAAGTATAGTAAACACCGAACTCTGGCTCCATAATCACATGTACAGTCAGCAAATCAGGTGACACTAGCCTCGGATTCGAGAACAACACATGCGATTGATGGCCTTCAACCTCATTGTTTGTCCAATACAACTATAAAACTAGGCAACATCGCTTCGGAAGTTCCTCGATTCTCTTCCTTTTGTCCTCTGAAGTTCAAGTTTCTCTTCAACAGACCAAATCGCCCTTTTTTTGCTTTATCAAGTTCCCCCACCATCCCCGCATCTCACCTTCAACCTACCGAATACATCTATATCGACCTTCAAGATGGCCGCCCCTGCTGATGTTACTATTCAGAACCTGAGTGGGAAATGGGAGATGGTACGCTCGACTAGGCTTCTAAGAAAAAGCAAATCAAATTGAATGCTCATGTGTAACAGGACTCTGCCTCCAACCCAACAGACCCTATTCTCTCTCTGGTTTGTACCACCAAGCCCTAACCGGCCTTCCCGCCAAGCTACCAAACATTTAAAAAGCCAAGCCTCCCACCCCTGTCGCAAATTCCCCTCCAATCATGCAAATCCATAATGATCATTATCACCCCTCCCCGGCACCACACCACACATAATCTCTATCTATCAACCCCACTAACAAACTAAAACAGCAAGGGGTTGGCTGGCTCACGCGCAAGACACTCTCGTATGCAACGGTGACAAGCAACGTCCACCAGTACGCCGACAGCGAGAACCCCACTCTCATCCATGTCGACGCGCAGCAGGTAATCACAGGTGGCATCCAAGGCACCAAGGAAGAGCGCAAGCTGGACTGGGAAGAGCGCGAGCATGTCGATCACATCTTTGGCACGGTGAAGGGTCGATCGCGCCACATCGCCGCTGCGAAGAGTGAGGACGGCGCTGTGCGCCCTGTCATCGAGATCCAGACCAAGGTCGGCTCGCCTGAGGCTGATGCCAAGGTGCAGAAGTTCCTGACTGGAGAGATTCTAATTGATGGATCGAAGAGTGAGGGTTTCCTTGCTGAGGAGGGCGAGGGTGCATTCTTGCATAGCTTTGTGAAGAATGAGTCGGCTGGGTGGACTGCTGAGCAGGTTTGGGGATTTGAGATTGTTGATGGCGAGAGACGTCATACTCGTCGTGTTGTTGTTACTAAGGGTGGGAAGGTTGCGTCTGCTAGACTTGTTTACACTTTCAAGGGGCGTAGAGGTGACGAGTAAATGCTCTTATCCGTTTGTTTAGCTTAGGCCTTGTTAAGCTCATGGAATGATGACATGTGGGGATTTTGAGACTGTTTCATTTCCAAGAATCAATGTCACTAGAATGCTGTATGCACTGTTCAATCTGGGTTTCCATGCCAAGATTCACAGAAAAGCAATCATGTGGTTCAGAGACATCCATTGAGATTCATCAGGTGTGTGTTTTGTTCAACTAGAAAGAGACAGAATAATCATGCTAACGATCGGCTAAAAACAAAATCAAGAAATCAAAAGATGCAGATCCTAGGATATTTACGAGTGAGTGGGCATCACAACGTTAGCTTTGGTGCTGACTGCATCCTCGCTCTTCCAATGACTGGTCACAGTCTTCTGCTGGGTATAGAACTGCAAGCCGGGCTTGCCGTAGAAAGTGTTGGCACCTCCACCGGCGATACTCTTCTTGTTACCAGTGAAAGAGAACATGGGAAGAGGAACAGGAATGGGCACGTTGATACCAAGCTGACCAGCCTCGCATTCCTTCTGGAACTTGGAGGCGGTCGAGCCAGAGCGGGTGAAGATGGCAGCACCGTTGCCGTATTCGTTAGCGTTGATCACGTCGATGGCGTCATCAAGGGTCTCAACGTTGAGGCACACGAGAACGGGACCGAAGATCTCCTCCTTGTAGCACTTCATATCGGTGGTGACATTGGTGACGATCGTTGGGCCAACCTGTAGGAGCAAAATCAGTTCGAGTTACACAAATGTAGATCCCTTTCTGTAGTGGAACTTACAAAATTACCATTGGGGTATTTCTCAGGCTTGAGGCCACGACCATCCAGAAGAATGGTTGCACCCTCTTCCTCGGCGCTGGTAATCAAGCCCTCAATACGCTTCTTGCTCTCTGGGCTGATCACAGGGCCGAGGTCAGCACCCTCTTCAAAGCCGCCATTCACAATCAAGGCCTTGGCCCGCTCGGCGATCTCGGGCAGCCAATCCTTAGTCTCGCCAACCATTACACAGGTGCTCAATGCCATACAGCGCTGACCAGCAGCACCAAATGCAGCACCGGTAATGGCGTTAAGAGCGTGATTTTTGTTGGCGTCGGGCAGGACGGCAGCATGGTTCTTAGCACCCAAGTTGGCTTGCACGCGCTTACCATTGGCAGAGCCACGGGTGTAAATGTATTCGCCAGCACGGTTGCTGCCAACAAAGCTGATAGCCTTGATAGCAGGCTCATCAAGGATGAAGTCCACAGTGGGAGCGGCGCCGTGGATAATGTTAATCACACCCGGCGGGAAACCGGCCTCCTTGGCAAGCTCCGCTAGGATCATAGCAGCACCGGGATCCCGCTCGGATGGTTTCATGACCAAGCAGTTACCAGTCATGGTAGCGACCGGAATACACCAAAGGGGAATCATGGCAGGGAAGTCTTCGTGGCAATTAGCATCTGGTTATGTGCAGGGATTAAAGGGGTTGACCTGAGCAACTTACTGAATGGGCAGATAGCGGCCACGACGCCGAGCGGCTCACGGTAGCTTCTTGTCTCCATGTCCTTGGCTACTTCCAAGACCTCGCCAGTCATCTGGGTGGTGATACCACAGGCGGTCTCGGCAACCTGAAGACCGCGAAGAACGTCACCCTTGGCATCGGCGAAAGTCTTACCCTGCTCAAGGGTAATGGACGCGGCCAGTCGGTCCCAGTGGATACGGATTAGGCTAGTAAACTTGAAGATAATTTGTTGCCTGGCCATGATGCTGGTGGCTTTCCAAGCGGGGAAAGCCTTCTCGGCCGACTCCACAGCGGCCTTCAGCTCCGCATCTGTGCTCTGGGGCACACGGGTGACCAGGTTGTTAGTGGCAGGATCATAGAGATCAATCCATTTGGATGATTCGGATGACACAAACTCATTGTCAATGAAGTTAGCAGTGTCAATTGGGTTGGCGATCTTTTCGTGAGTTGTTGGGTATTCTGTAGCGGTGGAGACGGCCGATGTTGTTGCGGGGACAAGCCGCTCGGCTGTTGTGTGCAAGCGGCGAGTGGCAGAGGGCGATAATGATGGCACAGCTGCTCTACGAGAGCCCAGACTGGCGAGGGAAGTAGTAGTGAGAGATCTTGTAGAAGAGCCAGCTCTAGCAGTAACCGACACCGTGCGGGGAACTGCACGGAAAGCGGGGATGGAACGGGCAACCGACCGACAAGTAGCCATCTTGAATTGACGAGAGATGCAGAAGCAATGGAATTCAGAGATAGGACAAGTCACTAGAGAGATGCAAAGATGATTCTGGAATGCAGAGACCTCGGGAATCATGTACCTTGGGTTACCCCAGGCCCGAGGTCAACCGCCTTAGTCAGAGGGCATTCTGGGGGTTCCCAGGCTTCCCCACGTACAAAGGAGCCCCCCAGACAAGGTACCTTCTCGGCATTTTCAGCCAATGGCAAGTTGAAAATGGATTCGAATCGCCGACTAACTGGCGTTTAATCGTTCAGATTGTTCTTCGGGTTTTATCGCGCACTAGACGTTATAGGTAAGAGATCAAGTCAATTACAATATAGGCATTTTCTTCTTCCAGCTTTGCTTGTATTTCTTGCTTCATGAGGGGCAAAAAGGCCTTGGTTATGACACTATTGAAAGGGCAAAAAGGCAGCTGTCTCCGAGAAAGATAAAAAAAATGTGAAGGCCGATACAGAAATAGAATTAGAGAGGAGTATACAAATCGGGCCTCCACTCAACGTTCTTCATGAACCTTCTGACTACTACATCGGCCAAGACAACAAGAAGGGGATCACGGCGGTAACTTAATGCAAATTTCTTCGCTGATTGGGGTTATGGGTAAAATTCTTTTCTGCGTATAGATGATTTCCAAGCATCGCATTTACTCGGCGGAGGATCGAGTGGTGCGCTTGGTGGCACCGCCCTTGCTAGTCTCAGCGGAAGAGGTGACAGCCTCTTCCTTCTTCTCCTTGGGAGCACCAGCGGGCTGCTTGCCCTTCTTCTCGGCCGGGGCGGCAGGGCTGCTGGCACTAATGGCACCCACAACGATGAGGATCATGGTTAGGAGGAGCGCGCCCAGGCCACCGGCAACCTCAGGGAGGGTCTTGGCGGCGTCGATGGGGTCCTCCTTGGCCAGCTCAACGAAGTGATTGACCTTCTGGCGGACGAAGGTAACAGGATCCTCCTGGAAGGTGACGGTGGTACCCTCTTCCTTGACCTCTGGCTTAGGCTTGCTAGCCTCCTCCTCGGCCTCCTCAATGGGGAACTTCACATCGAAGGTCTCCTGGCGGAGCTTCTCAGCATCCTCAACGGAGTGTCCAATGTAGACGTTGTCGAACAGAATGTCATTTTGCATAGTCCAGATCTCGAAGCCAATAGCGCCCATGGGCTCAAAGTTGGATGGGGTCTTGTCCTCGAAAAAGGCAGGGTTCTTGATCTTACGAGGGGCCCAGACACCCTTGTAGGCAGGGTTATCGATGCGAGGAGCCTCCCACTTGCCCTTGTATTCGGGGTTCTTGATCAAAGGGCGGGTCCAAGTGCCACAGCCAGAGACCTCAGCACACTTGGGGTTGGGGACAGTGGGAGGGAGCCAGTCTCCATCCTCCTCATCATCCCAATCCTCGGGCTTCTCTGCCTCAGGGTCGGGAATGCTCTCGGCCTCATCTTCCAGCCAGTCGGCAGGTTGAGTGGCCTCCTCATCGATGATCTCGAAGGGAGCCTCTTCATCCCAGTCGGCGGGCTTAGTGGCTTCGGGGTCGGGGATCTGAACGTCATCAACCCAGTCGGAGGGCTTAAAGTCCTTAGGATCATCAATCTCCTTCTCGGGGTTGACAGGAGGGTTGAAGTCCTCGAGGAGGCTACCCTTCTTGGCAGAGTCGCCGTTGATCAGGATCTCGAAGGTTTGATCGGGGTTGACGATCAGGGTGTAGAGGGAGGTGACCTTGTTGGTGCGGGCCACAGGAGGAGTCTTGAGGTGCTTCTCCTCGTATTCGCCGGTCTTGGGGTTCTTGTGGCGGAAAATGAAGTGAACCTTGTTGGTGGCACCGCACTTGTCAGGACCGAACATGATGACATAGGGAGTGCCGTTGGAGAACTCCTCCTGGTGGAGCTTCTTGTTCTCTTGGAGAAGCTTGAGGTATGCACCGCCGCAAACCAGGGAGTCTAAGGCAGGTCACTTCCAGTCAGCAAAAAAAAAACGCGGACGAATGTAAACAGTCGCGACTCACTTTGCGGCTTGACTTCGTACTGAACCACCAAGGTCTTGCCCTTGTTGTCAATCTTCTTGGGGAACTTGGCAGAGATGGCGTGGTGAGCAGCAGCGTTCTTCACGACCAGACCCTTGTCGCCCTCAATACCCTTGAAGACGGAGGGCTCCTCGACTGCCCATTCACCGACGTAAGCCCACTCATCCTCGGACTTGGCATTCTTCTTTGCGTGGGAAGGCTTCCACCGAGAATCCCAGCCGTCTGTGAATTGTTCCAGGAAGGGAGCTTTGAGGTTGGTAGGCTGGCAGGAGTTAAAAGTTAGTATGAGGGAGTGGGGAGGGCGGGTTTATAGATGCATACAGTGAAGACGGGCTTGTCAATGACAGTAGTATCCGCAATCTCCTCCTCCGCATGGGCGTAGCCCATGAGGCTAGCGGAGGAGACCAGAGCCGAGGTCAAGGCAGTGTTAAAGCGCATAATGTAAACTAAACTATTAGAAAGAAGGAAAGTGGAGCGCACAGCACCGAGATGTAGAAAAGAGGTGGTTTTATAGAAAGGGCAACACTGGGGGGAAGGTCCAGGTGGCCTCTTCACTAAGCTCCCCAATTGGGACTAGGGCGTGTACACACGGGTTTCGATCTTGTTCTACAGGCACATAAACAATTGGTCCTCTTAACAAAAAAAAAAAGCAGAGGCACGGTAATTTATGTGATCTTCGGATTTTTATTTACTATTCTGCTTAATTGGAACTCCATAGCTACCACTAGATAACTAGGTGCTCCATACACAGTTATGCATATCTTAGTTTTGTTTCTTATTTATCTTTTTCCCCATCCTTGATCGGCTAGCGGATATCCGTAATACGTAAAATGGACGGGAGCTAGCGAATCCTCTTAATCGCATCTACGGAGGGATGGTCCGTTCGAGATTAGCATTTTCCTTGTAACGTCCATCTCGGAGCAGCTGTAGTCCTTCACAAATTTCATAGGTCATGCTGGCAACATTCGTAAGAAAGGTCAAACGGCTGGACTGCATCCCAGGAGCGTTCCATGTTGAGTTCGTCCTTGTATTTAAAGGTGATGCAAATAAAAGACTCCTTCACGATTTAAGCCTTTCCTGTCCATGCTAGCTACAAGCCAATAGGGGAAAAATACCCTATCGCAGTTACTAGTCACAAGAGAAGAGGAAGAAGAAGAAGAAGAA